TGTCCCAGCCACGGGGAAGGCGTGAATGCCCGTTCAGCTCCATTCCACCGCGCTGCCCGGGACCCGCAGCCCAGGTGTCCCCCCCAAATTAGGAGGAGGCTGAGGGCTTCCGTCTCCCAGCGCCGGCCCCAGCCCAGAGCATCGCACCCCCTCCCCAGCCCGGGGACGCGACACAAACCCCCACACCGGCGCTGCCGGGGGTGCCTCTGCCTTCGGCGGGGATGGGGAGCGGTCTCCGCCAGCGTCACCTTGGCTAGCCGAGTAACGGCCTTTTCCAGAAAAACAGCGATTTGCTGAAATGGCTTTGCCTGGCCCCGAGGTTTTTTGGCAGAGCTAACAGGAGGCCCAGCAGTCCGCTCTCATAAAAAACCCATTACCCAGGTTTGAAAACACGGCTCCCGAGCCCGGGGAGACGGCTCCGCACGTCTTGGCAGATCGCGCTGGGATTTGGGTTCGGTCCCGCAGTGTCTGGTGCCGGCTCCGAGCGCTCCCGCTCCGCCACACGCGCTTTGCCGTCCTTCTCCGAGCGCTGGGTTCCCGCTCACGCAGACGTCGGCTCCCGGGGCTCATCCCGCTCCCAGTCCTCCTGCCTCTTGCCCTCCTCCTCCTCCAGCCGGCTCTTAAACCAAGGTGTGAGGACAGGGGCTGTTGGGGAGTAAGAGAAAAAATAAAGTCAAAAATCTCTGAGTTACTGAAGGTGTAAATGCCATAACGCTGCGTCGGGTCCTGAGTGGGTTCTCGAAGGGGACCTTGGGGGTGTTGGCAGTCACGGCACAGCTGAGCTACCAGCACACCCCAGCAGAGCTCTCTCACTTGGGTACCTTCTCACAGCTCTGCCTTTGCAGGTCGGACAGGTAAAGCCACGCCAGGAGGAGGTCAGCCAGGCTGCCGAGACCGAAGCCTCCTGCCCAGGCCAGCCGACGGCACCCGTGGAGTCCGAGGCCACGCAGGAGATGAAGAAATGGGTCTCTTAAAGTGAACTTGCAGAAGGTGAGATTGGAATGCGAATACTGCTAAAAACGGTACGGCAGTCACCTCCTCTCCCCCTTGGCTCTGGATAAACTTGTGAGAAGAAACACTCTTGCGAGAATCACTCAGATGATTGGACCTCAGAGTCTCACCTCAGGGGGAACAAGTAGAGCAGCTTTGCCCGGCGGCCAGCCCTGCCGCGGCACCCACCGGGACCCCCGGCTTTCCCCCGGCACCGCTCACGAGAGGGTGGCACCGAGCGGTGACACTGCCAACACAGCGCACGAGGACACGCGCCTGAGCAGCGAGGGGCAGGAGGCACTCCGTGGTGTCAGAAAGTGTTGGTTGGGTGGGTTGGGTTTTTTAAAATCAAGTTTAAACTTGCAAGATGTGAAGATTCCATCACCGTATTTATGACAAAACCATCAGTTTTCTTTTACCGTATTTTAAACTGGGAGTAGCTCTACAGGAGTGAATAAATGCCTGTTTAAAGTTACTTCAGTAAATAAATATCTACCCCCCCCCCCCATTTTAAGCTACTCCAGTCCTTTGCAAATAGGTTTCCAATTTACAAAAATCAATTAAAATCATATATTCTAAATGTAACAACCAACAGCGATCTTCCCGTAGATGTCATTCAGCCTTCATTTTAAAAACAAAATCAACATTCAAAAAGCTATGCTGCTGCAGCAGAAAGTTTCACCTTTTAATTTTTCATACAGGATTAATTTTTAATTTTCAGACATCAGAGATAGAGGGAAGTTCCCCAGGAGCCCTCCTGTTCAAAGAGCACTCCAGGCAACTATTGCCATCAAGTGTCAATTTATCACACTGAAGGCTCTGATGCAGATTTTTACTGATATTTTTTTGTTCAGGCAAAAGTATTATCGCTGGAAAAGTTCGGGTGTTTGCTAAAAGCCGGGCACGGTGCGGACAGCTTGCTGGGAGAACAGAAGCAACCCCTGCTTTCCTTTCTCCTCGGGTCCCCGGAAGCCGCGTGGAGCGCTGTCCCTGCCCCGCGCCGGGCACCCGGGACCCTCTGCATTCCCTCACCGCGCGCTACAGCCGGGGACGGCGGTACCAGCCCACAGCGGCAAAGATGTCATCAGATGTGCCCTCCTTCCACCCGTGTGCACGGACGGACCGTCTGAGGGGTTTAACTTACACACCGGGATGCTCTTGAGTTTCCTACAGAGCCGACATCCCACGAGTCCCACCGAGGGACAATTTTGCAGACCTTTGAGCTGCAACTGGGGGCTGCACACCTGCCATAGCCCCGCTGCCTTTGCCGTGCGCTCCCCGGTGCCCTCGAGATCCCCAAACCTCCCACGCCCCCGAGAGGGCAAAGCTGCCGCCACCTTTGCTGCCCCTCCACAGGAGGGAACGGGCACAAGGAGGAACCTTTTCCCTGCTTGTGCCTTCCCGGCATTGGGGCGGGATGGAGAGATGCGAGGGCCGCAGCCGGCCGGGAACCCGCTGTTCCAAAGGGAGACGTAACTCGCAGAGCTTTTGGAGCTTGCGAGGTGATGTCCAGAAGATGTATTCGACTTTGGGTTCTTCTGCACCTTGGCTGCTCATGGATGCTCCTGCAGCATCCAGAGAACAAAACGCCTTTGGGTCCTCTCCAATTGCTGCTATTAATGCATTGGCTTTTAAATACGTAAGCTACTGCTAAGCGTGTTAAAGTCTTCCATTTACACGTCTTTCCTGGCATAGGACTCATCAAGCCGAGAAAGTATGGTGGCTACAAAAATCACTGTTTGAAACCAAATCCAGTCCACTCGCAAACGATTCATATTCTGAGCACTTTTCCCGCCTGCGTCTGACGGGGCACATCCAGGAGTGAGGAGCATCCCGAGCGAGGAGCATCCCGAGCGCCGGTGGGTTCCGTGGCCGTGTCCCGCTCCGTGGGGAGGGCTGCCTTGGTCCCGGGACAGGGGGGTTGCGCTGCTCGAAGCGGGTGACTGCCCGGTGTGTGTGGGGGGAAATGGGAGCGCAGGGTGGACCTCGCATCCCACGGTGAGCCTGTCCCGGGAACCTGCAAAGCACGTGCGGGGAATTCCCCCCGGCAGCAGGAGCGGCGGTAGCCCCCCTCCCCGGCGGGCTGGGGGGAGCGAGACACACGAGGGTGGATTTCTGAGTCAGCTGCAAGGAGTGCTGATGGCCGGCAAGACACACGCCGCACACAACCGCAACATTACGCTCTTTGGAAGAAATCTTTGATCGATACATCTGATGCAGTTTGCACTGACCTCAGTGATCTGCATTTTCAAATCGCTTTGGGTTTAGGCGTGATTGACGTATTTTGAGGAAGACGTCCACCAAACGCACGCGCTTCCCACGCGACCCGGCTCCTGCTGCGGTCAGCAGCGCTGCCGACGGGACGCGGCTCCTCTGGACCAGAGGCACAGACACGGCACCGGCAGAGCCCCTTCGTGGCCCAGCGCGTCCCCCGCCAGCCCCCGGCCGAGGAGCCGTGACGCGGGAACGCGGGGGAGCTCTCCCTCGTGCTTTATGCAACTGCGGGCAGCAGATTTGAAGCGCCCGGTATAATTTTTCTAGAGTTTTTTTTTCCTATAAATCTCAAATGACCTCTCGTTTCCAGTATGTTACTCCCAATAACGCTAATTAGTGGACAGCCAATCTCCATTGCATCAGTTCAGGCAGAATATCGTGTGACAGTTGGGAGACAATCACGCATACGCAATTAATAATGTACAAGTCCATCGCTCCGTATCTCCATCACCTTCTCTCAGGTTGGCTCGTTTCCCTCAGCCTTAATGCATGCTCTTTCAAGCCGGGGAAGGGAGCACCTTCCCATTTGATCTCATCTGCCCCTTCCTCTGCCTCCGCTCCTCTGTGCCAGGAGCCGTCTGTCCATCCCTCCCTCCCTCCCTCCCTCCAGCCCCGTGCACCTTCTGAAGGCCGGTCAAGCCGCTCCATCCCTAACGATGTCCCGACCCGTCCCCGGTGCTACACCTCCTCCGGCTGTGGCGCCCAACGGGGCCGATTCTGCCCCTCCTTACCTTTGGCCGTGTGCTCCTCGCTGCTGCCATGAACATCCCGGTCGGTCCATCACGCTTCCAGCTGCGGCGCGGGTATCACGTCCCTCCTCCTCCTCCCCCCAAGGTTATGCCAGACGCTGCTGGGCTTTATGTGACACTTCAGGGCGGTTTTGTTACTCGGAGCAGTATTAAACGAATCCAGTGCAACGTCCTGATCTCACGCACCACTCCGCATTGCGCTCCCCACGCAAAATAAACCTTGATGTGATTTTAAACCTCTCGGCCAAAGCCGTGCTTTTACGATGGGGACGGCCGTGCCCAGCCTTACGCCAAGGAGGGCAACCTCCTCCACCGCGGCCCTTGCCCACGCCCTGCCGGGCTCGCAGCCGGGACGGGGTCGGTGCCCCAACGGCAGCGCTGGGCTGGGGACTGCCCGACCACCCCATCGCTCGCCGGCCCCCGGCAATGCACCCAAGGTGGAGGCGCCTGCAGCGCACCGCACCGCAGGAACGCCGGCAGCGCCGCAAGAATGTGGGAATGCGGCGGGAAGGCCGGCAGCACGGGCAGCGCCATCAGCCCGAACTCATCCCCCAGAAATGGCAGGTGCTCGGTGCCACGGACACCGTGGTCAAGGAGTGGAAGAAGGGCCCCGAAGGGCTTTGGAGCACTCCGCGTCGTACCCGAGCACACCGCCACATATTCAATTATCAAAAAATGATGCCGCACAAATGAAAAAAATATTGATCTTTTTGCATCAAAATGCAATCATGCCAAATCAAAACCAATTAACGTCCTTGAATGCAGACAGATAGCAGGAAACAGGCACATACTTTTCGTAGGTAAATTGCTTAAGGTATAATCTAGGCTTTAGTATATTCTCATTTCTATGAAATGAGGAGACGGCAGGGAACACTGAGCTCGCCACAGTCGACCATGGCTCTACACAAATCAAACAGTCCATATTTTGCGAAGTAAACAGCAAACCCAGAGCATCTAATTTTTGAAATTCTTCTGGCTTTTCTTTTTGACCTTTGGTATTTGTACGTATCGATGCTCTCTCTAAACCATCGCACAAAAACACCTTGAAGTGTCAAGCTTTAAAAATGAGTCTTCTTTTCTCTTTCTCCCGTGCAGCTTGGATTATCTTGGCCTTGTCAAAATACATTCTCTAGTTAGAGGTTGGAAATATTTCCCTCCTGGCTCCCAAGTATTGATTTTTCAAGGCTCAGCGCCGCCCGCCAGCCGAGAGGGGAGAGGTGAGGCTTCGCCCGGCGCTGCCGGCGTCCTGCCCGCCGCCCGCCCCGCTCTGCCTGGAAGGAAACACCGCAGCCGCCGGTGTTGGAACGCACTCCCGCACCTCGCGGATCGAGGATTCGCACCGCGCCTTTGTGGGTTTTTCCCTCTGGAGGCCGGTGAGGTTGTGTCTGACGCCGCAGCGGCCGCCCCCGGCCCCTCCTCAAGCCCCCCGGCACTGGGCTGCCTCTGCAGCCACACACAACCCCCACTTTAAAAATAAGGTATATCGCAAATTCCAACCCAAAATACATTTAGCAACCCTGCCCTGCGCCTCTGGAAAACCTCGGTGTTTGATTTATTTCCATTCCTCGCTTTGGGGGAAGGCGAGAGGAGGAGGACAGAGCATCGCCCCGCGGTGCTGGGCACTTTCTGGAGGAACGTCCCCGAGTTTGGTTCGGAGAGGGTGTTTTGGGAGGTAAGAGAACTTTATCCTCAGTATCCTCCTACCTTTGCTGAAGTCCCTTCACTGTGCCCCCCCGCCTGCTCGGATGGGGACTCGCTCCGCTCTCATTCACGCCAACTTTCAAATGGAAAGAACAAAGTTTCTTATATAGTGAAAAGACTGCAGATTGACGGCCCCGAACTCGGCAGCAGGCAATTATTTACACCCCACCAGGCTGATGCCATGACACCAAGACTCTCCAGTGCAATTCCGGTTTATTTCACAAGCATATTTACACCGGGAAGTTTAATACATACAGAGGACGGGGAGGGGATTCGTCAAGAAGTTGCTGGAGAAGCAGACACGGGAACCATTCGCCATACACGGTGACTTCCAGCATCACAACATTTTCACAGAGGTGTCTCATCATGTCATCTTTTGCTTGTAAACTGCCAATGAAGCCACATACGTCTCTACGTTTACAAGGACAAGTCTGAACACAGTACGAACAAATCAATAGAGCGCTAAAAGCTTACAGGGGGATGACAACATACGTGTGGCGGCGGCGCTGAGCGAGCGGGGCCGGGCAGCAGCTCGGGCCGGGCTCAGGAGTCTCCGCAGCCCGGGTCGGCCGGGGGCAAGGCGGGGCCCAGCGACTCCCCAGCAAACAAATCTCACGCTACTTACTGGCGCTCCAGCCCCAGCTCCGGCTGCGGGAACCCCTTCTCGGGACCGGGAGGAAAATCCCCAGCTCTCCTCTGCATTTGAGAAAAGCCATTGCACTTCGAGCTTAAAACAAACATTTTAATGCGTATATAATTGAAGATGTTTGTGCACTGTACCACAAAGGAAATCACTGCAGGGGCACGGTCCCCGTTCCACGGGGCCGCACGTGGTTTTCAGAGTAAACACAGGCATAGAGGGGATCTCCGCCGTAACCTCCCGCGCGGGGTGCTGCCACCCCGCTGGGACAACACCCACAGGGCACCGCCGCGCTCTCCTCCCAAACCCACACTGCACATGACAGCATTTCGTTCTGCGGATGGAAAGCCTCGGCTGCCTCTCCTCTCTTTGCGATTTTCTTGTATTTATTTGACGTTTAATCTCTGAGGTTACATATACATCTGTATAAACACAATATACATGCATGTTGCAGTAGTTCACTTAGAAAAGACCCTGATATTATTCTACTACAGAGTTCTCCACTATACACTACATTCCCGCCAGAGAAAAGATTAAACTTTACGGCAGTTTGTGTTAAACATTCCTAATGGTCTTAATTTCTTGCTTTTTAGTATTTTTTTTAATTATTTTTTAACAGCAAACAGATATGTAGCTTGTGGACTGTAAATCTCACTTCCATGTACAGTATACTACACAGACCACCTAAAAAAAAAAATTTAAAAAAAAAATCAATGCTTTTTACATTTAGAAGCCACTTTTAAAATTCATTTATTCCTTTTTGGGGAAGGGAAGATTCTCTAAGTACCATTTTCACTTCATTATGTAAAGACAGCTTTCTTACTTCTGCGAGCTTTTCAGACAAAAATGGCAAAGAAAAAGCTATACAAACATATACATCAATAAGTTTAAATAAAATAGTATTTTAGAGATTTTTTTTCTTTACTGTGAGCATAAACCAGCATACTGTCACACTATTAAATATTTCACAAAATTAGATATGTAAGAAGAGGGAAACACAGTCACAGCTGATGTTACACAGGAATATTCCTACTGAAGAAAATGTTTCAATCTACCCATTCAAATACCTTACCTTCTACCCACTCGCCATCGCGTTTCCTGCCACAATCGCTCCCCACCGATGCCATTTGTGCCGCCTCCCCCCGGGGCCGGTGTCCTTCCCCTCCGGTCCCCGCTGGACCCCCTCCAGGAGCGGCGGCAGTGCCAGCAGCGCAGGGCGGGCTGTGCTGCCCCGCACGGCCCGGCACAAATGGGAGCGGCTTTTGCAAGAAAAAGCTTTTTGTCTTTTTTTTTTTTTTTTAAATAAATACCTGCATTGGTAGCAAAAAACACCTTTATATATAAATACTCCTTTTTTCAAGTTTGCTATTCCATCTTCAAGTGATTTTTTTTTTTTATTTACATGTGGACCATTATTCTTTCTTCCAGACTACAGCCAACAGTGACCGGGCACGGCAGCACTTCCCACTCCCTTGAAAACCGAGACTTGGTACGAGGAAACTTCCCCTGCGGATCAGAACACAGGCCATCCCCCCCGAAGCTCGAGCCCTCCCCACCCCGCGGCAGCGCGGCCT